GGTTGTTTGTCCTTGTATGTCCTGTGTGTTGCCCTGCGATGGACTGGCGGACTGTCCAGGTTGTACCCTGCCTCTCGCCCGTTGACCACTGGGATAGGCTCCAGTTCCCCCCGCGACCCCATCAGGGAATAAGCGGTATTGATAAAGGATGGATGGATGGAACTATAGGTCCGGATTGATGGTGTATTTAGTTTAAGAAGCTTCCTAACTGAGTGAAATGACCCAAGTACCAGGCAAGAAAAAGTGAGAACTGTTTGAATTCTTCAAATGCTGAGGAAAGGAGCTCCAATAATTCTGTAGTTTGTCAACATGGAACACAGCTCTCAGTCCTTTGAAAGATGGACAATGATGAGTGCGAATTGACTCTGATAACAAGAGCCCTCAATTAATTTCTTTTTCTTTTTCAAATAAAACCTTGACCTAAAAAGGAATACTCAATGTCATTTCCAAGATGATTTATGTTTATGTAACATTTTGATAAGACTGTGATGGTTGAATTAAATTAATTCTTTTATTTCAAATAATTTTTGAACATCTGTCATTTGAGTGATGCAGGCACACATGGCAGCCTCGTGTAAATATGGTCATTGCAGCATAGCTGTCCTTCCAAAGATCGTTGCCAACCATCTTCCTTAATCCAATTACATTTTCCGCATGGACAAAAAAGAGCAGAGGAAAAGTTTATATGAGTTGATTTTTTTCTATGTAATCAGACCATCTACATCCTTTACTCTTTCAGAGACACAGTCCATCATTTATTGTTAGTTCAAAGCAGAGTACATATGTAGTGAGTATGTAGTATCAAACTCAGAAGATATTTACTTTCCAAAAAAAACCCATGTATCTTTTCTTTTCTTTTCTTTTTTTTGGTTTGCATTTTTGCTTTCTCCAAGGTATAAGGGAATAATAATAACCAGACTCTGTGATGGCACAGTTAGGACTTATCGTTGTATTATCTTTATATTTAAAACTTGTATATATTTCCCCATATGAAGACACTGGGTCTACCTTTCTGAAGGACACAATAAAGACATGATCAGTAAGAAACGTGTTAAATTATTTTATTTCAGATTAGAGTGTCTACAATGAGGCCAGTAGGTCAAAGTTTTAAAAAATTGAGGTGTCATGATGCAGAGAGACAAAAATGAAATGACGCATGGTCTCAGCATGTTGGAGTATATCACATAAAAGTCAAGTAATATGTGACCTCTATTGATCATGAGACATGCATCCATCAGGATAAAAGGGGAGTTATGTAATGAGTGGATTTTAGTCATTATGAAATATCTCGTCTGAATTTGCCCAAGTAGTTTTGATTTCTAATCCTAACCATGTAATGCTATTATCTACAAGCTGTTACCTAAAGCCAGTCGCAAAGTGACAATATGTCATTGTAACAACTTGTGTTTTCATGTAAGATAAGTAGCCAACAAATAGCATCCACAAGGATGACTTCTGCATTGTAAGACGAATGTATTTAGCCTTTCAATACTGTTTCCTTCCTCAGAACAAGTATTGGTATTCCCTAAACAAACCAATATAATGTTACATTTGGTAGGGGGAACAAGATTAGTATACATTGATCTTTGACTCATGTTCCATAAATTCACATAGGCCATCAATATTTGATTCTTTTGACCTGGTCTCCCTCTGCCTCTGAGTTATTATTCGGGCAGGGCATTATATCTAAGAGGTACCTTGATTTAATTATGTCCTCAGTCAGTCCAAAAACCTCACTTGTCCCCACACCAAATGTAGTGGCATTGGGTAATGATGAGTATAAACCTTCTCTTGTAGCTTTGTTCATGGATACTGAGAATACAGCCCCTTGTCTTTAACATCGAACAGCCTATTTAGTTTACACCCTGAATGTGGCTGACATCCATATCTCTGTTTGTGTTTGCAAATACAGGACATGTGAGCAAAAATTCTAAAATGGTTCTTCCAGGACTGAAACTGAACTTTACTTCCCAAAGATTTAAGATTCAATATCGGTATCAGTTTTTTAGCTTTATCCCATTTGAGCCCAGCACCAGTTGAACATCATCACTCACTGGATTGTAAATACCCACTTTGATCCCTGTCTTAGAGATCGAGCTGAGTATATTTGTGGACCGAAATTACTCAAGTTATACGTCAGTACTGTATTCAACACTGATGACAGTAAGATTATTGTCTTTTAGTTAGGAATGATAAAAGTGGCCATTGTCATACCCTATTGTTACTGATATCGTTTCAGTTTGATATTTTGTGCACAATTCCATTAATCGATTGGGCAAAATGAAAAAATGATTGCTAGACTGGGGGGAAAAAAGAAACATTATTAATCATTGATGAAAAGTCTGTGGTGTGCCATGTGGATCACCAAACACAAATGCTTCCAATGGTGTGAAGACATTTCCGACAAACCCTGTGTGATACTCAGCACTGCTGACTGGGTGTTGATAGAGCAATTAGTGTAAGTCTCTGTTTTTATTGAAGTGGCGCTGAGATGGAAATCATTCGAGAGCTGTGTTATTGTCAGAGGGTGTGGGAACTGGAGGAGGCATTTCAAAGCCATTATGCATGACCCCTCGTGGTTTCTCATATCACAGTGAATAGCGAATGGATGCTGAGCGGAGCTGGTTCCCCTTGTGTGTCACAAGTGAGTCTGCAGAGTTTTCCATTCTAGTCACAACATGCATTGCTCTGCAGAACGCACAATATAATATTAATTTTCCACTGGGTGTCCAAATGAGAGGCGTTATGCAGGAGCAGCCTTATCATTTCTTTTAGGAATACATGCTGACTCCTTTGACACTAGAGTCCAGTTCTGTGTTTTATATGCACTGGACTGGAAATATACGAATACCAAAGCCTTTTTAAAAAAGAGGATATGTAATACAGATCATGTTTATCATTGATTTATCTCTCAGGTCTCTCCCAGTTAACCTATCTCTCATTTGGCCTTATTGAAAATGCTTATTATTTCCATTTAAAATGATAAAAGTGTATTCAAATATCAAAGCACAACACAGAATTATCTATCTACTGTCATAAAAAATATGACTTGTTCCTCCTGCCAAAACATGGAAAGTAAGTGGGTTTTTGGCAAACCAGATATAATACTTTCGCTACATATCTTTCCAGAATAAATATCTATGACTTTTGTGGACTTCATTTCTGATTTCCAGGCTCTGCATAATTGCTACTGAGCTACTTTCATGAAATACAATACACAAGACGACGGAGCCTTCCCACCATAGAGGGTATTTTCATTTAGGCTTTTGTTCTTATGCATTTTTTTTCTTTTTGTTGATTAAGATGCCCCACTAAAATAAATCAAGGAATAGTTTCCTGATCAGCTGAAGTGTTGATTATTGATTGAAAGTGATAGATTTTAGCTGCACAATGCAAGCACTGTCAACTCACAGCAAAGGGTTTTGTGGTTTCAGTCAGTATACTTATGAAGTTGGACTATATGTAGGGAGACACTGAGAACCTGCTGGTGCCCAGAGTCAGAACCAAACAATGAGAAGCTTCATTTCAGTTTTATGCTCCTAAAATCTGGAGCAGTCTTCCTGAAAAAGCAAGACAGTTTTGATTTTTTTTGTTTTTTTACCTTGTCCTGTTCAGAATTATGGCAGCAGAACTGAAATCTGAGTACTGTGCTATGCTGAACAAAACTGCTTATCCAAGGGAGGCTTTGTTAGTGAGAAGCTCCCCTTGATTACCCAAAGCTGCTTTATTTATTTATTTTTGTTACCAAACTTACATGTGTCCAATAATGCAGAACTTGACAGAGGGACAGGGAAGAAAGAAGAGCAGTGGGAAGGAGAGAGATCCTTTAGACAGAAAGAGAAAGGGGGGAAAAAACAAAAAAACAAGACCATACAACCAGCTGCTATGTCTGTAAAAAGGACACTGTTCCTTGTGGGCAATCCGGGTTGAGAACCCATAGGAGCTCCTGCGAAAGGACACAGGGAAGACAAAAGAACAAACAAGCAACAACACTGGTAGCAGGGACATTAGTGAGCTTCTCAGAATTGTGCTGCAACTGTACAGAAGCTTAAGGAGGCGTGTGTCTGGGTATCTGACTGTGTGTGTGTGTGTGTGTGTGTGTGTGTGTGTGTGTGTGTGTGTGTAAAAGAATGAGAACCCACACCCCAGGTTTCCCAGATTGTGCTCAGATATGGTGCAGAGGGGCCACCAGCCGAAGCCCCCCCCCTTCCAGCGCTCCGCAAAAGGGCAGAGAGTGCCCCTAGACCCGATCCCCCATCACACAACCGAGCACAGAACCTAGAAAGACAACCACAGAGGTGACCGGGCACCAGCCCAGAAGGCAACCAAGAAGTCTCCCCAGAAGAGCCACCACCACCGTGGGGCAGAGGCCCCCCAGGAACCATGAGCGACAGCAAACCAGCCCCCCCCTCAGGCCCCGTCCCCCAGACACAGGCCGAGAACTGGAACCCAGGCGAGACAGTTTTTAATACACTTTCGTTTTGCTTTGCCTCTTTCAAAAGATAGCTATTTCCCATGAAACACTATTTCACTTTACAACAAGGCAAAATGCACCATAACGGATGTCTAGGACTTAAGTTCAAGTGGTCAGGGTTAGGGTTTTCAGGCACCCGAACAAACAAGATGTCCATCCTGAGGCCCCAATTCGATAACCAAGATACTCCAAACTCTATCACATTAACCTGTCTCCTTTTCCTACCCTTATCATGAATAGGACCAGCAAAACTGGCCTGTCGCTTTTATGACCATCATCCTCACTAGACTCGTGATATATCCAGGACTTTACAAAAGAAAGTCGCTTAATTTTTGCTTCTTAACCCTTTCAAACGATTGACAAATAAGAACAAAACTGAGCACAATGACACCAGAATAGCGGCCCACCGTGTGTCTAATTTCCTCTCCATTTTTCCCCCCTTTTTGCGGACGAACAATCCCCGCGTTTTGATTGGCTCGTTCTTCCAATAACTGTTAATCAGCGGTCTCCGTTTCAGGTGTACCAGTCCGCGCCCTCTGACAGGAAAGCGTCCCGCAGGAAGCGATGTCTTTTAATATCCAAATAGCTAAACGTTTATTGTTATTTGTGATAACCGCTCATTTTTACTCGTTTATGTTTTGCAGCTCAAAAAGTTTAACAAGTAGGCCTAATGTTTTGTCGAATTATCGAGTAGAGGAATCGGCGACGGCTATGTGGGACGACAGACAAGAGAAACACCGAACGCAGGGCCAGCAACCGGCGGCCGAGCATGTTACTGATGGCTCCTCTCCGCGAAAAGACACTCAGTTAGGCCCCCCACTTCGGCACGACCTTCCCGAAGATTTCCTCGCACTTATTAGTGACTTAAAGCTCGACGAGGTACACGCTACACTGAACGGTTCGTTTTGGACACCTGGTAATGTCAGCGTGGGACATGGGTCTCCGGCTCAGGACTCTGATGAGGGGTACCAGGCAGACTTTACAGGTAATGAAGTTCATACACCTTTATTTCTGTTTTGTTCACAGGTTTAGGGTAATATCTTTCTATATCACACAATTTGTTTTTATTTTTTACTATAAGACATGTATCATTGTCTTAAATTATTGTATTTAGATTTAAATGCAAAAAGCATAGTCCCTGAACCAGACTGGGTTGGTGGTCAGGTGCATTCCGGATAAACTAACCACAAGATGAATACATTTTTTTTCCCCTCCCCCTTTTTAGGTTATCTTGAAGTTCAGGGGGAGGTTTCTTACCCCAGGTCATATATATTTATGAAGCCTTTGGTGAAGTGCATTGAGAACGTCATGATCTTCACGGCTTCTGGTCAAGGACTGACACACCTGTTAGTAGACAGAGGTAAGGTCACCTGATGAGGAATTTTGGAGTGTAATTTAATGTTTGTGCAAATTACAGAAAGGCTTGTGTTTTATCTGTTTGGTCCTCTTTATTTCCAGTCATTTCGCTACTGATTTTATTTTTTAAGGTCTTCAATTATTTAAAGATGGTTCAAAGCTCTGTATGTCTAGAGATTGCTTGCTTTGTGGGTTTTTAAAAATGAGTTAATTCTCTAAATCCTCACAGTTTAGAATAATAAACTGAAGTTTTGTCTTGACAGGGAGAGCCTCTCCCATCTCCATTTTACAGTTGCCTGCATATTGTGGCTACATGGTAAAGGCAACATGGAACAACTTGGAGATAATGGCGCCTTATGATGGATGCTACATCACCCACGAGGTATCTGCAGATATAATATACAAGTATATAATATGTTGCCCCAACATGTCTTTTATTTATTTAAATTCTTTGTCAGAATGGCAGTTATGTGCTGCATATGGTGTGGATGGGCAGCCCGTTGAAGCTGTCTTGCCCCATGATGCCCACGGAATTTCTTTCGTTGTCACCACCCTCGACGGCAGTCTTCTGCTCCCCGTATGGCATGGCAGTACAGTTACATGGGCAGAAACGCAATCCACCACAGCTGAGAGTCCTCGGTATGTTTCACTGGTGTTCACAGTGTGGACTAAATGTCAAGCCATCTACAAAAGTCACAGTGGGAATAGGCTCTGTTATATTTGACATGTTTCTTTTGTTCAAGTTTTGATTTCTATGTTAACACTCTTACAATTACATTTTAATTACATTTTAATTGATTTGTTCATTTCAAACTTATTGCAATGCCTTTCTTTTAAGCAGAAAAAAAACTTTTTCCAAATTATAAAAGATTATATACTTTCATGCTTCTAAAATAAATTGGGG